TTTGAATTTTGTACTTTTCAGAATATTATGGTGACACTGAAATTTTAGTGTATTATATCAGTATTTCCCTGTGTTTATTAATAAAATTATGTAAAAATTAAAATCTTTTCTTAGAAATTCCAGGATTATTTCTGTTATATAATAAGTAATTAAAATTCCTATTCCATTTTTTTCCTATGATCATAAGTACTCTGGTATCTTAAAGTTATGAAGAGGGTGGAAAGTAGATTTAAGCCAGGTATGTAATTTCTCATCATAAAATTTAGTATTTCTTTAAATAGTACAGCTAAGGAGATGAATAGAGGAAGAATGTTTTCTAAAATAATATTAAGCTATTGTTTTCTTGACTTTGAAGACATTTTCAGTTTAGTAACTCTCAGCAAGCCTGCCACTGAAATGGCGCTTATACAGACTTGGTGTGGGACCCGGCACACAGTAAACTGAATGACTTGAGGAATGCAAAATGAGTAAAACCTAATTCAGCCTTTTAGGAAGGGAAAGACAATCAATATACATTGTAAATGCCATTAGGATATACAGCCAATCTGAGCAGGAAGAAACTACTTCCAGCTAAAAGGTCCCCGAAGAAGTAGCATTTGGGCTGGGATTTGAGTAATGCACTCAATTTGCAAAAGCAAAGTTAAAGCACAAGAAGGGTGAGGCACTACAGAGTAAGAAAGCGGTATGAGCAAGACCGAGAAAGAGTAGCACTGTATGTTTATGAATCGGCAAATGTGCCACATTGACTACAGTGTAGGAAGAAAGGAAGAGACAATGTGCGTCTAATAGGAAACACGGTCTAGGTTAATAACTACCCAAACTGGCTAATCATCTGAATCTCCTGAGGAACTGCTAAATATGTATTTATAGGTGCCAGCTCTAGAGATATTGGGCTCGGGAAGCCTGGAATGGGGTCATAGAATTTGTATTTTTTAAATGAAGCTATGGGTGATTTTTAAATAGCTAAGTTTGAGTCATTCTGGCTTACATCAGAAATGGGTATTGGTACTCCTCCTGAACCTAAAGCAGATAGCAGTGTACTGTTGATCATAATAGAGACATGGACTCTGCCTCATTTTCTAGCTAAAGTGATCCAAAGATGAGATATTTACTTATCAAAACCTTTTAATTTTTATATCTTACTATGTATCCATTTTAAAATGAGATAGAGCCATATGAACTGATAAGCAAGAGTAAATCTAACAAAACGTATAGGATTTGTATGTTGAAAACTACAAAATACTGATGAAAGAAACCAAAGAAGGGTGAAATAAATGGAGAGGCACATTCATTAACTAGAACACTCAACATGGTCAAGATAGCCCTTCTCAAACTGATATTCAGGTTTAACATAATTCCCATAAAAATTCCAGCCAGAAAATAGATTGCATTTTAGTTGGGATGATTCAATTCATATTAATTTTCTTAGGTATGATAATGGTATTGTGGCTAGGTAGGAGAGATGCATGCTGAAATATTTATAAATGAAAGGTCATGAAGTCTACACTTTAATTTTAAATGGTTTAGGCTTTAAAATAAAAGTCTACAAAAATAAAGCAAATACAGCTAAATGCTTACTAGTGAATCTACAGGAAGGGCACAAGAATGTTTATTATACTAGTCTCAACTTTTCTATAGATTTAAATTTTTTCAAAATGAAAAATTTGGGTGGAGTTTGAGAAATTGTGACAGAACAACAGAATATCTATATGGAAAATAAACTTGACCCCCACTTTATACCATATACTGTCATTAGGAGAATGACTAAACAAATTGTGGAATCTATAATTAAAGAATAATATGCAAATCAACCAAACAGCGGAATGACTGTCCGGACGACCTTCCTGATGAAGCCAGGGCTGCAAAAGCCTACTCTTGCATGAATTTTGTGCATCAGGCCTCTAGTATTTATATAAAACAGTACTACTACTTTGGCCGGTGTGGTTCACTTGGTTAAGCATTGTCCCATACACTAAAGACTCTCAGGTTCAATTCCTAATCAGGGCACACACCCAGGTTGTGGTTTCAATCCCTGGTCGGGATGCATAGCAACTTCTCAATGTTTCTCACATCTATGTCTCTGTGTGTGTGTCCCTCCCTCCCTCCCTCTCTCTCCCTTCCTCTCTGTAGAATCAATGAAAAACATATCCTCGGGCGAATGAAAACACACACAAAAATAGTACTACTTAGCAATATAAAAAGGAAAGAATTGATCTCAACAAAAAAACTTAGACACAAAAAGAGTACATACTGTATGATCTATTTATATGAAGTTATAGAACTGGTGAAAAAATTAGAACAGTGGCTTCCTCTTGGATGTGGGCAGGAATTTAGGGAGTTTTGTGTGGTGATGGAAATGTTCTATAGCTTAATGGGTGTGGATTACATTGGTGCATCCATTTGTCAAAAATTGTACAATTTGTCCTGCTGGTGTAGCTCAGCGGTTGAGCTTGGACCCAGGAACTGAGAGGTCACACTTTGATTCCCAGTCAGGGCATATGCCTGGGTTGTGGGCTTAATTCCCAGTAAGGGGTGTGCAGGAGGCAGCCGATCGATGATATTCTCTCTCATGGATATGTCTATCCCTCTCCCTTCCTCTCTCTCTAAAAATCAATAAAAAACATACTTTAAAAATTGTACAGTTTAAGAGTTATAAATTTACCTTTTAAAACCTGAATGGAAGGGTGGGGAGTATACATGAAACAAGAATGGCAGTTGGTGGAACCAAGTGACAGGTACAAGTGGGCTTACCGCACTGTTTTAACTTTGCACAAGTTTGCATTTTTTCCATAACAAAAAGGAAGGAAATGGGTTAGGGAGCCAGAGAAATTTGGGTTTGAACCTTATCCTCATCCCATTTTAGCCGCAAGAAAACATCCATGAACCTCTATTTTAAACATGTAAAAATGAGAGTAAGATAATCACATTTCAGGTTGATAAGGGTTAGGGCTTCTGTGCTTTGCTGAAGGAAATAAAGCCATTTACCAACTAAATCAGCCTGGAGAGGTAAAAGTCTGAAACTGGGAAATTGGATGACTGTCAAAGATGGCATCAGCTAAGGGAGGCCTTGAATGACAGAATCAAAGATGGCATCAGACTAAGGGAGGCCTTGAATGACAGTATTGTAACCCTAACCCAGTGGTCGGCAAACTGCGGCTCGTGAGCCACATGCAGCTCTTTGGCCCCTTGAGTGTGGCCACGAAGTTTCAATCGCACTGTATGTGCGCACCTGCACATGGTATTTTGTGGAAGAGTCACACTCAAGGGGCCGCAGTTTGCCAACCACTGCCCTAACCCAACAGGCAGTTAGAATCTGCTAGATATTTTTAACTTTTTTTAAATGATGTCAAGTTATGTATATTGTTAATAGTTAACTTAGAAACATAATACAATTGCACTAAGGACAGAACAAATAAGTGGACTTTAAAAATTATTGTTATTTTTAGCCTGATGACATGACGGACTTGGGAAATAACACACTGGTTCTTATAAACTAGCTTTTATTTGGGGAGTGAAAAGGGCATGGAACTCGTTGAATGTGTCAAAATGGGTTAACTAGATATTTTAAACTATGAGTTCATAGTTTAACTATTTTCAAAATACAGTATAAGAAATAGAGGAATGATAAAAATATAACTTATCATCCATGCTAAGATTATCAGTCCAAATCTATAATCACAAGGAGACAACAAAGATAGGCTAATTAAAGCCTAGGCTTCTCATTGGAAAACAGGTGAGGGTAAACATGATAAATCCTTGATCAGGTAGAGATCTGTAGGTCCAAACTGGAAGGAAGGATGGCAATATAAGTATACAATGGAAAGGCACATAACACAGTATGATAGAGTTTGGTGGCTTGATAGGGAAAAAAGCATATCAGAAAGACCATGTTAAGAAAGGTAGACTTTAGACTTTGCCTAAATAACTTCACTCATTCTCAAATGTTAGTTTGAGTAATTTCTTGGGGAAGCCTTTGACCACCTTTGCCTCCCCAAGTTTAGATTAAATTCTCTTATACATTCATAGGACCATATTTTGTTCACAACATTCATTCATTATGGTTTATAATTGTTGAGTACCAGGTTTCTCTCACTAAGTTCTATAAGAAAGAGTCTGGATTGGTTTTGCTCTCCATTATCTCCAAGTGCAAAATACAGTGCTTGACACCAACTAGGTGCTCAATATCTGAATAATTCTTAAAATTCAATCAGACTTAGGAATTAAGGACAATGAGAATATTACATTGTCCAGAGGACTGTGGGCAAAGCTGTTCTTGGGGGTGGGGGGTGGGTGGGAATCACAGCTTTAAATCCTTTAAACAAACTGAACATTCTATTCAAGAGATTGGGGGTGGGAGTGGGGGGAAGTTGGAATGAAAAAAGTAATGACTTGAAACAAAATCAGTAGAAGTAATCTTTGAAAAGACCCATAAAATAGATAGATCACTGGCAAGGCTAATCAAGGGACAGAGAAATCCCAAATGCATAATAAGTAAAGTGATATAACAACAGATTAAATAAATTTAAAATATGATAGAATATTATCTACAACTCTAACCAAGTATAATAAAACACTTAAGTAAAATGGACACTTTTCTAGAATAGTAAAAGGACAATCAAAAAGGAAATCTGCATTGTTTACGAACCATGATGAATATATTAAGTTTCATCATACTGACTTTTCTGTATATTTGGAGGACTAAAATTGCTCAGCACCTGTCTCATACAGAAAGCTGACCAACCGTGTGCACAGCCCATTCCATCAGCTTGAGAGCAGCAGCCTAGCAAGTCGAGTCGACTGACACACAGAAAATACCAAACATCAAAAGAAACTCAGATAGGCCCCGCAGGGTCCAGGTTAGGCAATTAAGGGGGAACACAGAATGAAGAACGCAGCTTTGCACACGATGAGCCCAGTGCGCCTGCGCAGGGTAGCGGCTGCTCGGCTCCCAGCTGGGGGCGGAATCGCCGGCGCCCCGAGTCACGTGGCAAGGGGCGGGGCGCGCGGGACGTGCCGCCGCGTCGTCGCAGGCTCAATGGGCGGTGGCAGAGCATGTGTACTCTGCTGTTGCTGGCCTGGGACCCTCTAGCCGGCCAGAAGCTGAAGCCAGGGGCTGCGGGAACACGGCCGCGGAGGAAGAGGGCAAGGACAGCCGGAGGCAGGCCGGGCGTCCCTCTCCGAGGCTGAAGGGCCCGGGCTTCGTGGGGGTCATGGCATCGCTGGCGGAGAGAATGAGGGGCAATGGGCGCATCGCCGCCGGGCTCTTGCTCAACCTGCTGGTGTCCATCTGCATCGTGTTCCTCAACAAGTGGATCTATGTGCACCACGGCTTCCCCAACATGAGCCTGACCCTGGTGCACTTTGTGGTCACCTGGCTGGGCTTGTACCTCTGCCAGAAGCTGAACATCTTTGCCCCCAAGAGTCTGCCGCCTTCCAAGCTCCTCCTCCTGGCCCTCAGCTTCTGTGGCTTCGTGGTCTTCACCAACCTTTCCCTGCAGAACAACACCATCGGCACCTATCAGCTGGCCAAGGCCATGACCACGCCGGTGATCATAGTGATCCAGACCCTCTGCTACAAGAAAACCTTTTCCACCAAAATACAGCTCACGCTGGTGAGTAGCTTCAGCTTCGCAAGGCGCTCCTCTAACATCCCACCTCCTGGACTGTCTTTTTCACCGGGAATTTTGAATGTTTAACCTTGCGCCACGCTTTTTTTCATCATCTTGAAATCCACACACGTGTCATCTGTGAGCAGTCAGTTTAAGGCTTACTTGGGGGAGATGGAAAAAAGCCATCTTGACACTCCTTTGGGCTCTTAGCCTACAAGTGTGCTTGTGCGTTTTAATAACTACTGTTTGTTGGATATCCTTAAATGCTGTGGTCGGTAAGAAAGAAAAGCTGCATTGGGTAGTGCAATTCAGTCCATTAGATATCTGCAAAATCTCAAACCGAAAACAGCCCACCTCCCCCAGGGGAACCAAACCATGTATAATAAACGTTAAAGGTTTAAGATAAAATATGTCTCTGACTATGTCAGCAGCAACATTCTGCAGTGATTTCTGCATCTATAAATAGAAGGAAATGGACTAAAATAATCTTAGCTCTTAATAATTTACAGTATTTAAGATCCAAGTGCTATTGTTATATGTTTATGTTTATATGTTGTTTAGACACTAGTTTGGGGGTTCTTTTCCTCCTATGTCCCGGCATATGATATTCATTTCTTGCAAAGTGCAATGCATTAACTCATTATTTTACCCAAAATTTTATTTTATTTTTTTAAATATATATTTTTTATTGATTTCAGAGAGGAAGGAAGAAGGAGAGAGAAATAGAAACATCAATGATGAGAGAGAATCATTGATTGGCTGCCTCCTGCACGCCCCCCACTGGGGATCGAGCCCGCAACCCGGGCATGTGCCCTTGACCTGAATCGAACCTGGGACCCTTCAGTCCGCAGGCCAATGCTCTATCCACCGAGCCAAACCGGGTAGGGCTACCCAAAATTTTAAATAGAATTAAATGTGAACACAGTGAGAACTATAATATTTAACTTTAAGGAAACAGGATTAACAGTCAGTGTTTTCAAATAGAAAAGAAAAATGTATAGAGGTTCATTGTTTCCTAGTGATGTTTTTTTAAAATTAACTTGGTAAGACACCATGAAAGGAATACTCTTGAACTTAATCTGAACAACATTTACCTCTTTTTCTTTACAGATTCCTATAACTTTAGGTGTAATCCTAAATTCTTATTACGATGTGAAGTTTAATTTCCTTGGAATGGTGTTTGCTGCTCTTGGTGTTTTAGTTACATCCCTTTATCAAGTGGTTGGTAATTTTTTTTTCTTTATGTGCCTTTTTAGCAGATTTCATAATTGAAGCTGTATCCCAAGGTTTATAAAATACAGTATAGAGACAATAGACTGTTAGGAAGAAAGCATCATTGCATAACTTGTCTGACTCAAGGTGAAGAGAAGAAAGGAGACAGAGAAACTTGGGTGTGCGATGCTCACCAAATACCCACCTACCTGTTTGTAAGTGTATAATACCCATGCTTAACAGTTTGAGTTTGGGGTGGTGGTACATTATTTTCTGGGAATTCTTCACAAAATGAGTAATAAGACTTTTTGCTTGAGGACTGAGTTCATGGGTTACATGTATCATTTACTCTTAAATTATAACATTGTGAAAGGAGTGAGTACACTTTCAAAAATTTGAATGGGAAAGGAAAATTACAGATTTATAAATCTTTGCCTCAAAAAAATGCTACTGTTACAATTATTGGCTTCGAATAATTTATATCAATATTTTATAGCAATGGGTATTTCACTTCTTGTACTAGCACAGTGTCTTGCCTATATAGCAGGCATTCGTTAAAAATTTGCTCATGGATCCACTTACTTCATTACCATAAAATCTGAACAAGTATATTTTTTGTTTTTTATATTGGGCGGGGAAGTAAGTTGGTGTAGGGTACAGTGAAACAGTATTTTCTCTATACTGGAAACCTTGGACTGAAAATTCTGGGTGTGCCTGCATGGGGAAATTAGAGTCAAAATGTGTAACCAATTTTACTTTTCTTGCAAACATTTACTAGTTATAAACTAAGGCATTCTTACTGAGTGTTAGAAGTTTAATGATACAGCCTTAGCATCTTAAACTTTATAATACTGATCATTTCAGAAATGTTGTTATGTAAACATTCTGGGGTTGAATACACATTTTAGTGGCAGAGAAACAGTATGAAAAAAACACCAGCAGCATGAAAGGATGAGCACCCACGCAGTCTTGTCACTTGGCTCCCAGAAATTGTCTTTTACTACAGAGAGTAACCAGAGGAAGCTCAGCTTTGTGCTTTAAGAACATTATACTGTGTGTCCTGCAGTGAGTTTAACTTTTGTTTTAGATAAAGTAAATGAGCATTCTTTTCTGCTAAATGAACTTATTTTTTTTTTCTGCCCAGTATGGATTAAATATTTATTAAATATGGCAAGAAATTTTGTTGAATATTAGACTTTCTTGTATTCACTATATATAATTTAAATTCAGAGCACTCACTTGTTCATGCCAGTATGAACATTTTTGTCCACACAAGTCCCAACATGTTATAGATTAGAATCAAAGGATTCAATATCCCTCAGGTGGATATTTGAAATGAGATTGACCAAGGAATGATTGTAGACTAACAAATGGGCAGAGTTCTTCATTATTAGTAAGTGGTAAAAGTACTGTTACAAAATAGGTATATTTCCCCAAAATTCATTTTAAAGAAAGTTGGATTTTCCCATTGTATCCAGGTATAATTTGTCAGTTATTTCTGCTGGGGCATTAAAAGGAGTTAAAAGATGAGTGGTCATCTTTGTAGAAATACTGTGTGGAAAGACTGTTGATTCATTCAGCAGACATTTCTTCTGCTTTATGCTTAGCCTTGAGGATACAACGATGAAAAGCAGCTATAACCCAGTATTGCAGAAACACATTTAGACAGCTGATCACAAGTAGGATAGCTCAGGGTATGAGGAAAGTTCTGAGGTACACCAGGGAGGAAGTGGCAGTTCTACCCCAGAAGGTGGTGGGTTAAGTCTTCATAGAAACGTGAACAATTTACATCGAAGGACAGACGAATTTGCTTAGCAAATAAATATAGCAGAGGTCTTTCTTTGCAGTGATGGAGCATTCTTGGAGAACTTGATTTGTTTGGTGAGACTGTTGTGGAAGGACAAGGCGTAGAAGTGGGTGGGACCAGATGGTAGAGTCTTAGCTGTCATGAGAAGGAAGTGTGCTCTTCACCCTGCAGGCATCAGGAAAGGAGTGTGGATAGGGGAGTCACTTGATCATTCCCTGTGTTTTAGAAAATTAACTCATGGTAATGAAGAATGAATAAGAGAGGGAAGGAAGGGTAACAGTTCGGAAGCTCTCCATGGTTCAAGGAGAAGACGGGAGGGTGCTCATCAAGCATAGTGGTAGTGGAATAGGTCAGGGAAAACACTCCAGAAACCTTTCAAAGAAAGAATGAGTGGGATCTGACTGAATGTGAGAGCAAGGAAAGCAAGGAGTCTGATCCTTGGAGGAGATTATATCAATTATTGGAGCAACGCAAGAGGAATTAATTTGGGGAAGGAAGAAATGAACTCGATTTCACACAAGTCCTGATTCAAGCATGTCAAACTCGCGACAGGCGGGCCGCATGCCTCGTTTAAATAAATGTGGCTAGAAAGGTGTGTGAGGTCTTTCAATTCACTTTAAAAAGCCCAGTTGATGGTAAAAGGAATTTTCCTCTTTAAATATACAAGGCATGTGGCCCACCAGCTGCGAGTTTGACATGCTTGCGGGTGAGGATAACTCATAAACTGTTGAAGATGTGAGTTTAAGGATGCTCAAGGAAAGAGGTCAGAGCTGTAGATGTCAGCAGATAGTAATGGAAACCAATTAGGGAGTTAAAAGAGGAAGGCCAGACACCAGCCTTAAATATAGTAAATGAAGGAAGGGGTGAGAAAGGAAGCAGTGCAAACCAGAGATCAGGTTCTTCCAAGAGAAATTTTCAGATTCTGCAGAGAGCTCCAGCAGGAGGAGATTGGAAGGGAGTTCTTTGGATGGAGCTATTGGAGGTGATGGTGCCCTTTGAGGGAGCAGTTGCATTAGAGGGGTGGTGGGCAGAAGCCAGGCTGCCGTGCAAGAAGAGGAAGTAGAGGCCCTGACTCACCAGGCGGGTCCGTGTCAGAGATACCCAGCTGCCTGGCGAGGCTGCCAGAGGGGCAGGGGTACACTCTGCCTTCGTTTCTGCTCACTGCGGTGCCCCAAGGAGCCAGCAGCAGAAGAATCAATTATTTGTCCTTCATAGTCACAGAAGACTGTTAGTTAAGGCTGGCAGGAGTATGTGTCAGATTTCCTGCTCTTTTATTTTTGTGTTGGTGAAGTTCTATAGACTTAGAGTATATGTAATAGGATACCCAGACCTACAGGAAAAAGAATTATGTAGGAGCAGTTATTCAAAGGCCTGGCTGTTTTTGCCAGATCTTATTCAAACCGCCCTGTCAAGCTTTCTTTAAGCAGTTATAATTGTGAAGCATTTAGAGGACTGGTGGGATTTGGCTTTGAGGTGCTGATTCTGCTGAATGATATAGTTGTTTAGGGTTTGTGATCATCTCATTTCTCGACATGTATTAGAGGGAGATTACCCACAGAAAAGTCATCCATAAAGAGGAATTGAAAGACCTCAGTCCTTTTACCATTGACTGGGCTTTTTAAAGTGAAGTGAAAGACCTCACACACCTTTCTAGCCACATACATTGGCAGCCACCTGGGGTAACTGAGGTTCCTGTCTGTCTCTAATTAGTCTGCCCTTTCCCCCAGTTTCTTTGTGGGGGCGCATTTTAGAAAGAAATGAAGTTGGACACTGCATCTGTATTCCTACTAATGACCAAAATTTCCATTCCTGACATATTTTCCTGAGATCTCTTATGCTTGTGGGCTCCTGTATGCATGGATATCCCCATTTACTAGAATCGGGAGGGAAGAGAGGATCTTTTTCTTCTTCTTTATAATTCAGAAGAAGATACATAATCAAAAGAAAGAAAAAAAAACTAAAATGAGATAAAAAAAAAAAAAAGAAAATACATGATCAGACACTGAATTAATAAAGCTCCTCTCATCCACGGTGCTTTAAGAACATTTGTATATGTTATTGATCTTTGAAATTTTGTAGAATAATCAGGCATTTCCTCTTCCCCCAGCCCTGTGCCTCACATTTCCATCTTTGTGGCTAGAGTTGCATCTTTGCTTTATAGTGAGTAATACTATTTTTTTTTCTGCCTAACTGGTTTTATCTCCTAATTTTCAGTGGGTAGGAGCCAAACAGCATGAATTGCAAGTTAACTCAATGCAGCTGCTGTACTACCAGGCTCCAATGTCATCGGGCATGTTGCTGGTCGCAGTGCCCTTCTTTGAGCCACTATTTGGAGAAGGAGGACTCTTCAGCCCCTGGTCAGTTTCTGCTTTGGTGAGTTCTAATTGTTTTTTGTGTCTAAGAAACAAAATAATAACAACCCCTCCATTAATGCAGTTTTAATGTTCAGAGCACTGTTTCAGATCCATCCTCATATTTAATATTCATCATTATCCTTTCAGGGAAGCAAAGTAAGGATTATTTTTTAAAAATATATTTTATTGATTTTTTACAGAGAGGAAGGGAGAGGGATAGAGAGTTAGAAACATCGATGAGAGAGAAAACATGGACCAGCTGCCTCCTGTACACCTCCTACTGGGGATGTGCCCGCAACCAAAGTACATGCCCTTGACCGGAATCAAACCTGGGACCTTTCAGTCCGCAGGCCAACGCTCTAGTCACTGAGCCAAACCGGTTTGGCGTAAGGATTATTTTTTAGATGAAGAAACTGAGGCATGAAGATTAAGGGACTTGCTTAGGGTCAGACAGATAGTGACAAAACCAGGCCTAAAATTCAGGTCTGCTAATGCCTGATTACTGTTCTGACCACTCAAAGCTATAGCCCACAAATAATTCAGGTACCTACTTTTATTTTACTTTTTTACAGTGAAAATATAGGCTTATTGATTTTGTTTTTATCTTCTTTCTTCTTAAAGAAGTCCATTAACATTTCTTTCTCTTTTTTAAAAAATATATTTTATTGATTTTTTACAGAAAGGAAGGGAGAGGGATAGAGAGTTAGAAACATTGCCCTGACCGGTTTGGCTCAGTGGATAGAGCGTCGGTCTGCGGACTGAAGGGTCCCGGGTTCGATTCTGGCCAAGGGCATGTGCCTGGGTTGCGGGCACGTCCCCAGTGGGAGTTGTGCAGGAGGCAGCTGATCAATGTTTCTCTCTCATCGATGTTTCTGGCTCTCTGTCCCTCTCCCTTCCTCTCTGTAAAAAATCAATAAAATATAAAATATACTTTAAAAAAAATTAAAAAAAAAAAGAAAAGAAACATGCCCCCCAGCCATGATCGGAGAATCAGGTGCCTTTTCCGCCCTGGCCAGTGATAGCAGGAAGTAGGGGTGGAGCCAGCGAGGGAGCTGGGCACGGTTGAAGCTGGCAGTCCCAGGAGCTAGGGGTCCCTTGCCTGGGCCTAAAGCAAAGCCCACGATCGCGGGGCCACTGCAGCTGCGGGTCCCCGCTGCCTGGGCCGGACTGCCAATCTTAGTTGGCAGTTAATTTGCATGGGCAGGGGCGGAGCCTGCAACCGCGGGGAGCTGGGGGTCCCCTGCCCAGGCCTGACACCTCTGCCGGAGGCCTCAGGCCTGGTCAAGGGGCTGATCCGGCGATTGGTGATCGGAGGGTGATGAGGGCCAACTCCTCTGCCCGAGGCATCAGGCCTGGGTTGGGGGCGGAGCCGGGGGTTGGGGGGATATGATGATCCCCTTGCCCAGGCCTGAAGCCTGGGTCAGAGGCGTCAGGCTTGGGCGGGGGGTGGAGCAAGCGATCAGAGGGAGATGGGGGTCCCCTGCCCAGGCATGATTCCTGGGCCAGAGGCCTCAGGCCTGGGCAGGGGCCAGAGCCAGTGATGGGGGGAGATGGGGGTCCCCTGTCCAAGCCTGACACCTCTGGCGGAGGCGTCAGGCCTGGGCAAGGGGCCGATCAGGCAATCGGAGGGTGATGGGGGTCTACGCCTCTGGCCTGATGCCTGGGCCCGAGGCATCAGGCCTGGGCTGGGGGCAGAACCAGTGATGGGGGGAAATGAGGGTCCCCTGCCCAGGCCTGACGCCTCTGTCAGAGGTGTCAGGCTTGGACAGGGGACCCCCATCTCTGTCAGAGGCATCAGGCCTGGGCAAGGGGCCGATCCTGCGATTGGAGGGTGATGGGGGTCAACGCCTGAGGGCTCCCAGTATGTGAGAGGGGGCAGGCTGGGCTGAGGGACACTCCCCCCACCCCCCACACCCAGTGCACGAATTTCGTGCACCGGGCTCCTAGTAAAAATATAAAGAAAGTGAAGGTCCTCTAAAGCCAAGATAATCACCTTTATCATTTTCGTGATTATTCCATCTATTTTTCAGATACATAGACACACATGTATGTGTGTTTGTATGTGTGGATATATAATTTTATATGCACGGATCCTTACCATATATGCTTTTTTTTTTCCATCATGGATTCCTTTTCCCATGCACACTTCCACATATCATTATCCCATTCCTGTCCCTTGAAGTAAGACATGTCAACATTTAGTATTTGTTGTTTCATATTTTTCTCCTTAGTATACATACCCATATATCAACATACACAAAGCACACATATATTTATACATAAATAGACATTTGTTTGGTTACAAAAATGGCATCATATCACATGATTTTCTGTATCTTACTTTTCTCATGTAATATCTCATGAAAGTATCTTTTTTTAAAGTAACTCTTTTTTAAATATATATATTTTTTATTGATATCAGAGAGGAAGGGAGAGAGATAAAAACATCAATGATGAGAGAGAATCATTGATTGGCTGCCTCCTGCACGCCCTCTCCTGGGGATTGAGCCCACAGCCCAGGCATGTGCCCTTGACCAGAATTGAACCTGGGCCCTTCAGTCCACAGGCCGACGCTCTATCCACTGAGCCAAACCGGCTAGGGTGAACTGGTACTTTTTTTTTTTAATGAAATAGAATCCTAAAAGTAGAATTGCCAGGTCAAAGCGATATGTACTTTGGTGATATTTTAAGTTAGAAAGTATAATCCCCCACTTAGGGAAGGAATGTCTGCTTCCCGTGTAACCTTTGGAACACAGTCAATAGGAATGTCTTTTTTTTGTTAGTGGTGTTAACTTATCAAACTTACATAGCCCTTAGTCTATTTAGGCTCTGTTCTAAGCACTTTGCAAATATTAGCTTGCTTATAACAGTTTTATTGTGTGGATCCATGCTATTTTCTCCCTATATTGACTGATGAGGAAACAGAGCCAGAGAGTTAAGTAACCGACCTGAGATCCCACAGCTCGTAAGCAGAGCTAGAATTGGAATCGATGCTTTCTGGCCCCAAAGTCCATATTCTTCACCAATCCACTGTGCTGCCTGTAAGCAGATTGATAGTTGTTTTAAACTCACGTGCTTTGACATAAATCCCCTTTTTATTTGTCTAAAATTTTACATATGTCTCCTTTTTCCCTCTTGACACCCCTCCCTCCCCCCACCAGCCATTCCCACCCTGGGCAAGCCCATACCAACACAAACCCTTTTTTCCAAAATAGAAATTGCTGTCCCCTCTGTCAGATATTTCCTATTAATCTTACAAAAGTTCTAACCATCTTAGTGATCTGGTCTTCAAACCATTGCAGCTTAGACATCTTAAATTAGAAATGGAGAGGTTTTTTGTCATAGGTCCTCTGACAGATTTGAAAGAAGAGAGCAGCAGAAAAGCCATAAGGCAAGTCAAAGATACTTAGTGCACTAAGGCCATTTAAGTAAGGGAAAGTCACCTTCCTTCTCTAATGTCCCTAGAGGGCATCATTGCCTCAAAGTAGAGCTTGTAATTGTATTTTTAATGCTAAGTCATCAAGAATAAGTATGTAACATTCTGTGAACTCAATAAAATTAACAATGATATATTTTTAGAAACAGTTTTTAAAATCTTCAAGGAGTTGCCCTAACCAGTTTGGCTTAGAGGATAGAGCATCGGCCCTCGGACTGAAAGGTCCAGGGTTCGATTCTGGTCAAGGGCATGTACCTTGGTTGCGAGTTCGATCCCCAGTAGGAGGCGTACAGGAGGCAGCTGATCGATGTTTCTCTCTCATCAATGTTTTAGCTTTCTATTCCTCTCCCTTTCTCTCTGTAAAAGTCAATAAAATATATATTTTTTACAATATTTAAGGAGCAAGTTTCTCTTAATTGAAAATTTATGACCAATGTTACCCCAATCAATTTAATAAAAAAATAAGATAAAGAAAGAAAATGTAATGGGCCTCACTTTTATTAAACAAATGACAGATTACTCTTTTTACCTAAATAAGACACAAATCCAACTCCACTAGGCCTCTTATGACTGTGCTGATCTGAAACTGAAAAAACCCACATGAGACAGAAAGAATCTTCCAATATGACTTATTCATCTCTTTGGAATGTAAACTACTTACTAATTCAAATCATAACTAATATTTTATCTAAACTCTCTTATTTTAGAAATAAAAAAATGACTATAACTTTTAAAATAAAAGTGTGAGATAGGTTTGAACGGAATGCTGTATACGTATACAGTGGTTCAGCCCACGTTGTTCCTCAGTCCTCAGCCAAGTTGTCTTATTCACTATCCTATGTATGTACCTTTTGTTTTCATGCCTCCATGCTTTGACCCATACTGTTCCCTCTGCTTGAAATCCCGCCCCCTCTTTTTTCTTTAATGGATACATACATTTGAAATCCAAAGACTTTTCTCATTATCCCAGCCCAAAATGGTGTGTCCTGCCTAGAGATTCATATAGAACCTATATTGTCTGTTTGCCTATAAATGAGGTAGCTCATATTCTTTTATTGCCTGAGACAGAAATCTTGCATTGCACTCTCGCTTTCATGTGGCTAAGAGGTAGCATAAGAGAGTGGGTTAAAAGCAGGGTCTCCATTACCAGACTGCTGGGTTTAAATCTCAGCCCGCCACTTCCTGGCTGTGTGGTCTCAGGCAGATTACTTCACCTCACTGTGTCCTGTTTTCTCGTCTATAAAAGGGATAATATTTTACTACCTCATGGGGTTTGTGAGGATTAAATGAAGTAATATATGTAAAACATTTAGGACAATTCTTGGCACATAATAATGACTATGTAAGTGTAAGCTATGATTACCATGACTTTGTGTCCTTAAGTGTTTTCTAAGCTCTTTGAGGACAAGAACATACTGTGTTCCTCACAAGGCGTGGCCTCGTTTTGTAGATATCCAATGAATACATATTGATTTAATTTAAATAAGAACAAATATGAGCAATTCAATAGAAGAAAGATCTGGAAGAATATATGCTAAAGTATTAACAGTGGTTGATGGTTGGGATTATAAAAATTATTTTATGTTTCTCTTTATTTTCTGATTTTTCTATGATAAACATGTATTACTTTCATAATATTAAATTTTTTTAAAAAGTAATTTTTCTTCAGATGGATAAGAAAATGAACTTGGATATTCACATTCAGAGGCAGGATATTATTGGAGAACTTGAGGCCCGGTGTACAAAATTCATGCACAGGGAGGGGGGGGCATCCCTCAGCCCAGCCTGCACCCTCTCCAATCCAGGATCCCTCTTGCAATCCAGAACCACTGGCTCCTAACTGCTCACCTACCTGTCTGCCTCATGCCCCTAACGGCTCCCCTGCTGGCCTGATCCCCCTAACTCCTCTCCCCTCCTGGCCTGATCCCACTAACTGCCTAACTGCTCTCCCTTGCTGGCCTGATCCCCCTATCTGCTGTCCACTGCCGGCCTCATCCCCCTAACTGCCTAACTGCTCTCCCCTCCTGGCCTGATCCCCCTAACTGCCTAACTGCTCTCCCCTCCTGGCCTGATCCCCCTAACTGCCTAACTGCTCTCCCCTCCTGGCCTGATCCCCCTAACTGCCTAACTGCTCTCCCCTCCTGGCCTGATCCCCCTAACTGCCTAACTGCTCTCCCCTCCTGGCCTGATCCCCCTAACTGCCTAACTGCTCTCCCTCCTGGCCTCATCCCCCTAACTGCCTAACTGCTCTCCCCTCCTGGCCTGATCCCCCTAACTGCCTAACTGCTCTCCCCTCCTGGCCTGATCCCCCTAACTGCCTAACTGCTCTCCCCTCCTGGCCTGATCCCCCTAACTGCCTAACTGCTCTCCCCTCCTGGCCTGATCCCCCTAACTGCCTATCTGTTCTCACCTCCTGGCCTGTCCCCCTAACTGCCTAACTGCTCTCCCTCCTGGCCTGATCCCCCTAACTGCCTAACTGCTCTCCCCTCCTGGCCTGATCCCCCTAACTGCCTAACTGCTCTCCACTGCCTGGCCTGATCCCCCTAACTGCCTAACTGCTCTCCCCTCCTGGCCTGATCCCCCTAACTGCCTAACTGCTCTCCCCTCCTGGCCTGATCCCCCTAACTGCCTAACTGCTCTCACCTCCTGGCCTGATCCCCCTAACTGCCTAACTGCTCTCCCCTCCTGGCCTGATCCTCCTAACTGCCTATCTGTTCTCACCTCCTGGCCTGATCCCCCTAACTGCCTAACTGCTCTCCCCTCCTGGCCTGATCCCTCTAACTGCCTATCTGTTCTCACCTCCTGGCCTGATCCCCCTAACTGCCTAACTGCTCTCCCCTCCTGGCCTGATCCTCCTAACTGCCTATCTGTTCTTACCTCCTGGCTGATCCCCCCTAACTGCCTAACTGCTCTCCCCTCCTGGCCTGATCCCCCTAACTGCCTATCTGCTGTCCACTGCCAGCCTGATCCCCCTAACTGCTCTCCCCTCCTGGCCTGATCCTCCTAACTGCCTATCTGTTCTCACCTCCTGGCCTGATCCCCCTAACTGCCTAACTGCTCTCCCCTCCTGGCCTGATCCTCCTAACTGCCTATCTGTTCTTACCTCCTGGCCTGATCCCCCTAACTGCCTAACTGCTCTCACCTCCTGGCCTGATCCCCCTAACTGCCTATCTGCTGTCCACTGCCGGCCTCATCCCCCTAACTGCCTAACTGCTGTCCACTGCCGGCCTGATCCCCCTAACTGCCTAACTGCTCTCCCCTCCTGGCCTGATCCCCCTAACTGCCTATCTGCTGTCCACTTCCGGCCTCATCCCCCTAACTGCCTAACTGCTCTCCCCTCCTGGCCTGATCCCCCTAACTGCCTATCTGCTGTCCCCTGCCGGCCTCATCCCCCTAACTGCCTAACTGCTCTCCCCTCCTGGCCTAATCCCCCTAACTGCCTAATCTGCTCTCCACCTCCTGGCCTAATCCCACTAATGCCTATCTGCTCTCACCTGCCTGGCCTGATCCCCCCTAACTTGACTACTGCTGTCCACTGCCGCCCTGATCCCCCTACTGCCTAACTTGCTCCTCCCCTTCTGGCCTTTGATCCCCTAACTGCCTATCTGCTGTCCACTTGCCGGGCCTAATCCCCTAACTGCCTAACTGCTCTCCCTCCTGGCCTTAATCCCCCTCTAACTGCCTATCTGCTGTCCACCTGCCGGCCTCCTCATCCCCCTAAACTGCTAACTGCTCTCCCCTCCTGGCCTGATCCCCCTAACTGCCTATCTGCTGTCCACTCCAGGCCTGATCCACCTAACTGCCTAACTGCTCTCACCTCCTGGCCTGATCCTCCTAACTGCCTATCTGTTCTCACCTCCTGGCCTGATCCCCCTAACTGCCTAACTGCTCTCCCCTCCTGGCCTCATCCCCCTAACTGCCTATCTGCTCTCACCTCCTGGCCTGATCCCCCTAACTGCCTATCTGCTGTCCACTGCCGGCCTCATCCCCCTAACTGCCTAACTGCTCTCACCTCCTGGCCTGATCCCCCTAACTGCCTAACTGCTCTCCCCTCCTGGCCTGATCCCCCTAACTGCCTATCTGCTGTCCACTGCCGGCCTCATCCCCCTAACTGCCTAACTGCTCTCACCTCCTGGCCTGATCCCCCTAACTGCCTAACTGCTCTCACCTCCTGGCCTGATCCCCCTAACTGCCTATCTGCTCTCACCTCCTGGCCTGATCCCCCTAACTGCCTAACTGCTCTCACCTCCTGGCCTGATCCCCCTAACTGCCTAACTGCTCTCCCCTCCTGGCCTGATCCCCCTAACTGCCTATCTGCTGTCCACTGCCGGCCTGATCCCCCTAACTGCTCTCCCCTCCTGGCCTGATCCCCTTAATTGCCTATCTGTTCTCCCTTCCTCTCCTTGCCCTTTGGACCCGCAGCACAGGTGTGCTGAGAGCTCTCCACCGCGGCAACCCCCTCCTGATTGATCCTTACATGACAGCATCCTGGACAATTTGCATATTCCTCTATTATTAGTGTAGATTTTCCTTTCAGTTTTTTTAGACAAAATTACATTTCTGAATATTATTTATTCTATTCTTTTACCTTCAATTCTTGTTGTCTTTCAAATTGATTCTTTAAAAAAAAACACAAAAAAACAAAAGAATAGTTTATTGATTTTTAGAGAGAGGAAGGGAGAGGAAGATAGAGAGAAACATTAATGTGAGAGCACAACATCGATGATCAGCTGCCTCCTGCATACCCCCTACTGGGGATCGAGCCCCAAATCTAAGTATGTGCCCTTGAACAGGAAACAAACCGGCAACCTCCTGGTGTAAGGGACAACGCCCAATCAATTGAGCCACATTGGCCAGGGTTTAAATTGATTCTTTTTAAAAATTTTGTTCCTAATGGTTGATATTTGAGTTTTTAGAAATGCCTAATGAAATGTATTTTCACTTGAAGATTATAATGATTGAAGCTGCATTAATGATTCTTTTGCTTTATTTGTAGCTTATGGTGCTTCTATCTGGAGTAATAGCTTTCATGGTGAACTTATCAATTTATTGGATCATTGGGAACACTTCACCAGTCACGTATCCTTTTCCTAATGACTTACAAATGCATAGTCTTTTATATTTTTCTAAAACACCATCACATTAACTTCCTTGAGTCTGACAATTACTATTGCATGGCCTAATTTGAGTAGAGTGAGTTATTTTTAATCATTAATCATCTCATTCCACACTTAAGCCTGTAGAAACTTAAAGAAATGCGAACTGGGAAAATGCATTAGCATTCTGTATCATGAACATTCTTTCATTTTCTCACATCATAGATGACCCTTTCCCTTATCAAAATTAACATAGAAAACCATTTCTTGCACAGTGGGGTTAAATAAATGTTTGTGGGTTGAATAATGGGATGGATGCTTGGGTCTTCAGTCAATTCTCAGTTATCTATAGTAACAAAGTAGAGGTGTGGTTATCCACATGACAAAATATAACCAGGCCTCTGAAATTGACATGTGACCTCTGAATTCTAGCATATGTTTTTGTGCTTATGTGGATATGGGTGTGCCTATTTTTCTCAGTATTTAAGAAATGAAGTCATACCCTGAAGGTCTGAATCAAACTCAACTACCAGTTCTTAACATTCTGCTTGTCATTCTGTTTCTTTTCTCATTTCCCTTTGCTCCACTCTTAGGCAAATGCAAAGAATGGACTTCTTTACATCAGAGAAGTAGTTTAGTGATGTTATGTCATAGTGTACTGATTTATATAAGTGAGTGAACACTGATGTCATCAAAGTAAAAAAGCATCCTACTTGCCAGCTATCAATAAATAATCACTTTTTTAAAAGAACAACACTTAATAAATGTTTATTTTGTGCCAGGTACTTCTCCAGTCACCGTGGGTATGTTAGGCATTTAGTTCTCACAGCGGCTCTGTCGGGTAAATTCTATTCCTGTATTTTGCAGAGGAGGAAGTTGAGGTGCAGAGAGTCAGTAACTCGAGGTCGGGTAGCTGAGAAGTAAGTGCTGCATCTAGATTTCAAACCGTGCAGTCTGGTCCCAAACTCCTGCACCATGCGCCACGTCAAGGCATCCAAGTGTGTGCCCTTAATAAGAACATTTATGCATTCAACAAACATCTGTTGAACACCCACTGTAAACTGTTCATTGAGTTTCTGTTTACATATTGAATATCTACTGTATGTCAGGCACTGGAGATATAATAAAATAGACAAAAATCTTTGCTCTCATGGGCTTAAACAGACTATCAACAAAACACAAAAAGAAAATATACAGATTTGTGTTAGATAGTGTTAAGTGCCAGGGAGAAAAAATAAAGCAGGGATGAGGATATGGAATGTTGCGGACAGAGTGAAATTTTAGGGGGAGAAGTCAGGAAGGCCTCTGTAAGAAGGGGACTTTTGAGTAAAGACCTGAAGGGAAAGAGGTTACTCTAGGCAGATCAGGCGAGGGAACGGTGGGTGAGGAGCCCTAAGGAACAAGGGGGCCCTTGCGGTTGGAGCAGGAAGCGCAGAGGGAGGTGTGTAGTAGGACTGAGAGGTGATGGAGCCAGGTGGGGTAGAACTCTTACGGAAGGACCGTCCCTCTGAGTGAGAAGGGAAGCCGCTGGAGTTTTGAGCAGAGAAATGACATGGTTTTACTTATGTTCTAATAAGGTCACTCTGGTCCACCGTGTCAAGAATAAAGCAGGGTTTCCCAAATCAGTGCTATTGACCTTTTTGGCCAGACAATTCTTTGTTGCAGGGGCCTGTCCTATGCGTTGTAGAATGTTTGGCAGGATCCCTGGCCTCTGTAGATGCCAGTAGCACTCCCTGACCCCAGTTATGTATCAGACCTTGTCTAGGTGGCAGAGTCCACCCCTCACTATATCCACTGCTACCATTGAACCAAACCACTGGACTATGTGAAGCAACGCAGGAAAGGAAATTGTCGAGGCCATTGCAATATTCTAATTTAGAAGTAACAGTGGTTTGGTTCCAGGGTGGTAGCAGTGGATACAGTGAGAAGTTATTGGATTCTGGATATTTCATAAAATATTGTTATTGATTTTTCTTAGAGAGGAAAGGAGAGGGAGAGGGAGAAACATTGATGTGAGAACAAAATATCAATCGACTGCCTCCTGCAGACCCCCTACCAGGGATTAAGCCCTCAACCGTGGCATGTGCCCTGACTGGGAATTGAACCAGTGATCTTTCAGTGCGCAGGAAGACACCCAACCAGCTGAGCCACACCGGCCAGGGCTGGATATATTTAAGTAGAACTAACAGGTTTTTCTGACAAATTGGATGTGGAGAATATGAGGGAAAACAAGGTTGACTCCTTTGGTTTTGTCCTGAGCACATGGTAGAATGGAGTTGCCGTCAGCTGGGATGGGACAGCCCTGAGGTTTGGGGGTGGGGAGGAAGAGCACATGCTCAGTTTTGGGTGAACAAGTCTGGAAGCTCAGGGTCTTAGCTGGGGAGAGTCCAGAGAGAGCCAGTGGTTTAAAGTGGTGAGACTGGTTGAGAAGGCCAAGCAAAGAAGTAGAAGAAAAGACGCCCAAAGATGGAATCCTGCACCATTCAGTGTTTCGAGCTCAGAGGGATGAGAGGAGCCAGGTGGAAGAGACAGGGAAAGCGCGACCGAGGCGGAAAGGAAGGAGAGTGCTGTAGAAACCAAGTGAGGAGGGATGCCACCGACAGGTCAGGTGCGAGCGAGACTGGTAATCCATGGAGGGGGGTTGCAAGGCGGAGGTCCTGACAGTTTTGAGAAAAGCTTTCAGGGTGCTGAAGTGAAAATTAACGAATGGAAAATTGGAGAGAGGAATTGTAAATACCAAGTATAGCTGCTCTTCTTTTTATTGACAAAAGGATTCCTGAAGAATTTCTTTAAATTAGCCTTCCCTCTTGTATAAATATCTTTAACACATCGTGATCTTCTTAAAAGAGGCTGGGCGATAAAGGAATGCCACAGTGGTAGAGGCAGTGCACTTGAAGATAGCTCCTCATTGGAAATAAGCATAGTTCTCATGTTCTCATGACGATCCTTGGGAAGATCCTGTCTCTGAGGAAGTCGCCTCTGTTGGGTCAGGCAGGCTCAGGTAACCCTGTGACACGCCAGCACTTTCCTGCGGAGAGGAGCTTCCTGGCTGCTCAGTTGGCCCCAGAACAGAGCAAAGAGCCTAGGCTTTGAAGTGAGGCAGATCAGGTGCACACGCCAGCTCTGCCCCTACCTGTGGGCCTGAGCAAGGCGTGAGAGCTCTCGGACCTCACTCTCGTCACTTAAGAAATGGGGGAAATGATATCTACGAAGTGATGGTTGGTTGGTTTTGAGTGTTTGAGAGAATATGTCAGGCACCTCCTGGCAGGTGTTTATTATGCATCAATACTGCTGCTGATAACTATTACTATAGCTAACACACAGGGTGCTTAGTGCCTGGCATGTCATTGGGGCTCAGTATTGCTTCCTTCCCCTCCCCTCACACCCTCCTAAATAAGCATACGGAGAGCTTGCCTTGAGGCAGCTCTCTGGTGCCTTACACGTCGCATCTCACCTCACTTGCCAAGGGAAGTTATTGTTAGAAATGGCACTTTGAAACAGTCATAAATTGCTGTACAACATGTCTTCTCTCTACCTTGCTCGGAATTCCTTTCCTAACTTTCTGTTTTAGCCCCTTTTCTCTCTTTGGAGAGGTGAGCAGGAATAGCTGACGCAGTCTCCTGTCACTGACTCATTGCTGAAACCTACCTGTGGAACTAGGATGGACCCAGCACTTCACTGAAGCTCCCGTTGTTCTTTAGACGAGGGGCAGGGTGGACGGCTAGCTGTTCCGGCTGTGTGTCACGCCATTCTTTCCAGCTTCAGGAAGCCCTTGCTGTGTGTGTGTGTGTGTGCGGGTGTGTGCGTGTGCGTGTGTGTGTGTGAATATAGCACCTCGCCTGTTATTCCTTTTTATCCTTATCCAAAACCCTCAGCTACAACATGTTTGGACACTTCAAGTTCTGCATCACTTTATTTGGAGGCTATGTTTTATTTAAGGATCCGCTGTCAGTTAATCAGTGTCTTGGCATGTTATGTACATTATTTGGCATTCTTGCCTATACCCACTTTAAACTCAATGAACAGGAAGGAAGTAAGAGTAAATTGGTACAACGTCCTTAATTGGTTTTTTGTGGAGAAAAGAAAATCACCCCAAGAAGACTAAAAAAATGTTATGCGTGCAAGTTGCTTTCAAAGAAGAAAAAAAATTACATTGCAGAATTCAATGAATGATAGTTTACAAGAAGTAACACAAAGGGAATTTTATATGACTTTTTCAGTTAGAGTACCTTTATTTTTAAGAACTTAATTCACGCCTCTTTTCAAAGGTCATGATTGTATGAAGTATGTAGGATGGTTTGGTTACACCAAATGAAGTACATGAATTTAAAGTTCTGTAACAGCGACAAAGGACTTCATATCGCTAAACCACAGATGTGTCCTGGGAGTTAAGTGTTCATACTCTTCCAAAGAAGGACTCATAGGACTTCTCTGCTTGCTTGTGGGTGGTCCCCAGTGTGAGCTCTCTTATCATTTTGGCCAGCATTCAAGTCAGAATTTAAACCTAGCATTTCTGTTTTAGTTGGTTTAGTATAACTTCCTGCTTAATTCATTTGTAGAAATCCTATCTAATAAAGAGGAAATATGCTAATTGACCCTCACACCATTGCAAAGATGGTGGCGCCCACAGCCAATAAGGAAGGAATATGCTAATTGACTGCCACACCCTCAAAGATGGCAGCGCCTACAGCCACAAGATGGCAGCACCCAGTTCCCTCAGCCCCCCAGCCGCCCAGGGCTGCCCGAGGCTCAGGTAACCAGGGCCAGCTGAGGCTTGTGCTGCCGGCAGTGGCAGCAGCAGAGGTGTGATGCGGGCGTCGCCTTCCCCTGATCACCGGGTTGCCTCCTGCCCCTGAGGGCTCCTGGACTGTGACAGGGGACTGGCTGGGCTGAGGGATACCCCCTTCCCCCCGCCCCAGTACATGAATTTTCATGCACCGGGCCTCTAGTGAAATATAATTTATAGAAAACAAAGTGTAGGACAGAAAACCATAAAACAAAGTCCAATTCCAATAGTACTGTTTTTCCAGTGGAAAATTGATGTAAAAAGTTATACATTATCCAAAAGAAAAAACCCTGCAGTTTCTATTGGTATTCTCTTGTTTTCAAGCTCTCAGAGAACTCTACAAAGGGTATGTGAAGTTAAAAAACAAAATAGCTCCATGTTCAACTGGCCCAAAGGAAAGACTATAGATGGAATTGGACAGGTTTCTTATTATCTTGGTAACTGTTCTCCTGGCCTCTTTGAGCCTTTCATGTTGGCAATTTCTCTTTTTTTTCTTCTTTTCCTTTTTAAATCCTCACCCAAGGATATGTTTTTCATTGATTTTAGAGAGAGGAAGGGGAGAGAGAGAGAGAGAGAGAGAGAGAGACAGACATTGATGTACAAGAGAAACATCAATTGGTTGCCTCCCATAAGTGCCCCAGGGACTGAACCTACAACCCAGGTATGTACCCTGACCAGGAATGGAACCCACAACCTTCTGCTGTACAGGATGATGCTCCAGCCAACTGAGCTCATGTTAGTAATTTCTTAATACCACCCCTCTGCTATTACTTCCTACTGCCCCGGTCACCCCAGCCCCCATTTGAGGCATTAGTGGGGCTTCCTTTGGCATTGAGTATCTGGAGTGGACTGTCCAGCCTTAAGGTGGCTGAGGAAAATTCTTACACAAAGGTCATGGCAAATGCTATCCAAACACGAAGCAAAAACTTGGTGAAAATGTTAGGAAATATTTGAAAGAGAAGTAGAAAAATTATCAATGTTTAGTTCTGAGTTTTTAAAGGAATCAATTTTTAATTTTTTTTCTTAAATGTTATTGATTTTTAAAGAGAGGAAGAGAGAGAGAGAGAGAGAGAGAGAGAGAGAGAGAGAAACATCATTGGGACAGAGAAACATTGATCAATGCCTTTCAAACACACCCCGACCAGGGATTGAACCCAGAACCTGGATATGTGCCCTGACCAGGAATTGAACTGCCACTTTTTGGTGGACAGGACTACGCTTAACCAACTGAGCCACACCGGCCAGGACAGGAATAATTTTTTTTTAAATTAGGCTATAGGGGAAATACAAAATCCCACCCTAGGAGACACATAGTGCCATATATTTAATTGCAAAATTTATTTCTGCCTTCCAACTTCTTGACATTAGAACATTAAAAGCAATTGTTAACCTCTCACAATGAGTTGACTGAGACAGATAAACCCTCTTGTAATAAGTAATTCTTTTTCTAAATATTATTTTTAAACTTTAAATGAGAAAGCAACTCTAAAGAGGACAAAGCCATGTGGGTTTTTTAGGATTTTTTTTTTTCCTGACTTGTTTGAAATGAAAGCCTCAAGGAAAATCTATTTGACAGAATTTCAGTGTTATCAGTCAATCTTTTGTATGACTAGTATGTGTGATTTTTCTGCTTGTGTTTTAAATAATCTTTGGTTCTCAGTTTCTGAAAATGTATCTTACTGTGCTAAGAAGTACAGAACAATTTGTCTTAGCAGATGAGCCTCAGGCATTGTTTGTCAACTGCGGTTCTCTGTGTACATAATTATTTCCCCAAAGCTGGGGAAAAGTATGTCAGCACAGTGAGGATCATGTGGTGTCTGTGCACTAGCAGCTGAGTTAACCTGTGCCATGTACACATTCTCCTTAACTGTAATACAAGTTGGGGGTGGGGGGGGTTAGTAAATGTTGGGGAAGGGTTATAATGAATGACTGATGTCAGTAGGAATGCAGTGAGAAAGTTGGAGGGGTACAAATATGTAAGTGAATAAAATGTGTACTCCTGGACCTAGAGGCTGGTGAACAGATTTGACCCTGAAGATGGTCTTCCCATTGACAAGGAAGGAAATTCCCAGGGAAAATGTTCCAGATGACCAGGACCAGCCCAGAGGCACACTGGAAGCTTGGTGCTGTGGAGGACACCGCCGTCCTGTTACAGATATAACTGCACTTGTTTTTCATCCTATGTTACATGACTGGACTTTCAGTTTTTACCTGTAAAATAAAGAGAACCTGATGTTTTCACTTTCGTGTGTGTATTAGAACCCGTGGAAGAATGATAGCATCGCACACTGTGTATGTGCAGTGGGAACGCTGGCCTGTCCAGCTCCCAAATATGCGGAATCTAATGAAGCGAAATCCTATTGTCCCTTTTAAAATAACCCAAAGGAGGAATATCTCTCTCTATAATGAACCAAGCTTTCTCCTGTTTCATCTTTAAAATAAAAATACTTTTTAAACATTGCTATATTTATTTACTTATTTTAAATATATTTTTATTGACCTCAGAGAGGAAGGGAGAGGGAAAGAGATGTAGAAACATCAAGGATAAGAGAGAATCATTGATTGGCTGCCTCCTGCATGCCCCCTACTGGGGATCAAGCCTGCAACCTGGGCATATGCCCTGTCTGGGAATTAAACCCTGACCTGGGAATTAAACCCTGACCTGGTTCAACTACTGAGCCACACTGGCCAGGCTCATTAGTCATCTTTTTTTTTTTTTTAATTTAAGAGCAATAGCATTAATCAAGCACTTCACATTGGCTCTGTCAGTCAATAGTTGAGTGAGTGAATATGCAGAATGGCCAAAGGTGAAAGTCTGATTAAAAGAATGGAAATCAGGTTTATTAAACATACCCTGTTTTGCATTTCTGTTTCCAAACTTGAACTGGATTATACTTGCGAATATTAGGAACACAATAATTTCATTCACTCAACAAAGTTTTACTGAATGTGTGTTATGTGCCAGGTACTGTGCAAAGACAGCTCTATATTTCCAAGAGACATCTGTCTAGCAGAAAAAATAGACATTAATTAAATAAAAACAAACTGAGTTTATTATGCTGAAGAGAACGTGGTTCTCTGGAGCATGTAACCAAATAACCTGGCCCAGGACTGGCTGTCAGTGAAGGCATCTATGCGGAAAGGATGGTTGAGCTGAAATCTGATGAATGCATAGAAGTTGGCTAAGCAAAGGGAGAGGACTGCATTTCTGCTAAAAGGGCATAGCACATACAAAGGCCCATTGGTGGGAGGAATTATGAGTGTAAAGAACTGCAGAAAGGATGGAGTATAGGGAAGGGGAGAGATAGAGTGTGACATGAGCCTGGAATGGCAGACCGGCCTGAGACCATAGAATATCTTGTATGCTATGTGAGAAATCTAGGAAGAGCAAGAGGGTGTGTTCTGTTGGATGGCACAGTCAGCCCCATTGTTTTGAAATGAAAGAAGGAGAACCAGAGAGATGCCAGGAGACCAGTTGGGTGGTGACTATAGTAAGACTAGAAGCCCGTTGCACGAAGATTCGTGCACTTCCTTCCCCTGGCTGCCAGCACCGGTTTTCCTCCGGCACCCGGGACCCAGGCCTTTGGTCCGGCCACAGTGGAGAAGCCAAGCCTTGAGGCTAGGCTTCTCCCCTCTGGCTGCAGCAAGGCTAGGGCTCTTCAGTCTTCAGTCTTCACTCCAGCCAGAGCCTTCAGTCTTCGCTCCATGCCTGTGTATGCAAATTAACCACCATCTTTGGTGGGTTAATTTGCATACTCGTCCTGATTGGCTGGTGGGCGTAGTAGAGTGACACCAATTTGCATGTTTCTCTTTTATTAGTGTAGATGTGATCGCTTGGAAGGGTGGTGGTGAGACGATAGGATTGGATACATTAAAGAGAATTTAGTCGATGGAATCCACTGGACTTGAGATGAACTGAAATGAAGGGCACAGGAGAGGGTGAAGTCAATAATCACATGTTTGATCTGCGCAGCCTGATAGAGAATGGTGCCATTCTCTTAGGAAATACAAGGGCGGAGGAAGGTGATGAGTTCAGACACAGCTATCTTGATTTTCAGGCCTCTGATTAAAGATGTTAACCAAGTAATCAGATATACAGATGTAGGAGTTGGGAAATGTTTGACTTAGAGTGGAGATAAAACTTGGAGAGTTACTGGAGTATACCCAATAAGGATGAAAGCACAGACCAGGATGAGCTTGGTATAAAGCAAAAAGTCTACTGAACCCTGAGGAACTTCAGCATATCTTGGTAGAGGAAGATAATTCTGCAAAGGAAATTGAAAAGGAAGAGAAGGGTAGAGGGAAAGTGAGGATGACGATGTAATAGGAGCGAGGGTAGACAACTGTGGTAATATTGCCGAGAAATCAAGGTAGACATGGACAGAAAAATAGCAATTGTATTGACAGTTTATTGTTGACCTTAGTAAGGCTGCTTCAGTGCAGTGATGGAGGCAAAAAGGCAGATTGGATTGGGCTTAGTCAGCGTGTGAGAGGTCAGGATATAGAGTCCAAGAGTGGAGACAATTCTGTAGCTAATTACACGCAGTGTCACAAGCAGCGTTGAGTGTTGCCTGATAAGAACTGGGGGCTCTTTATGAGTGAGCCTAAGACTTATTGTGATGGTAACTTATCATTACAGAACTGAAGCTGTGTAGTACCCAATAGCCTAGTACCCCTAGGCACAGGGCAGATGCTTCTGTGACAACGATGATCTTTTGCTCTGAAAAGAGGTTTTATTTCTGGCTCCTGAGCTCCCGAATGTATTCTTGTCATATGGACTGCTATTAATAAAACCAACAGTTACTTTTGCCAACTGCAGATACTCTGGAAAAACAATCTTGTGAACCACTAACGGCTGATCCAGTCATGCATTTTCTTGTTTGTAGTACTGCTAAGT